ATATAAAAAATATCTATAACTTATATTTATTTTATTATTTCTTGTATTACAATATATATTGCATATAAATTATAAGCATCTGCAATGTGATTAAATTAAAATATATATCAAACATAATGAATATGATTATGTTCATTTTTATTTATTTAAAATTTTATCTTACATTTGAAAAATTCATATAAAGTAGAAACTCAAGTTTGTATCATATATTATTTGATATTTTTCTGTGTGTACAGTGCTAATCTTGCGGGTGGCTTGTGATGATCACTGTATCATACAGGTACCTAAATAAATAAATCTACTTAATAGTTTTGAGTTTCTAAAAGTAGTATAACAATATCGCGATCCTCAAATTCAGAGAAGACAGAACATTATTAAAATAAGTAACAATGAAAAAAATATGTGAATGATATATTTCATAAGATGTTTTTTCTTTTTCTTTTTTTTTTTTTTTTTAATTGGAAGGACAAAGGTAAAAGGAAAGACATTAATAAAGTTACTAGGGTGATGCCATGTGTTACTTACTGTAACCAAATATAGTAATTTAATTCTCCTCTTGTGGAAGAATTATAAATTTAAATTACTATTTAAAATCAGGAAAATTATTTTTCAACTAAATAACATTTTTAGGTTCCAGAAAGCAATACTGTAGCACAATTAGGATCCACAACAACAGGTGGATTGGGTCAATATATATTGGTGCAGAGAACAGGAGTTGGAGATAGTGCCCCAAGAGCATCATCTGCTCCCCCTCTGCCACCTCAAATTGCTGGAATGGGTGTTGGAGTACATTTAGTACGTGGCAGACCAGCCAGTGCAGGAGAGGGTTCACATCAGGCCGTAACATTGAAAGCAAGGGGCACTGATGGTAGAGGAGGAGGTGGCGCCGAACCTGGAGCACCCGGTATGATTATGGGTGGTGATCCACCGCCCCCTTGTGAATGTAATATGCGAGGTGCTATGGTAATATGTCGACAGTGTGGCGCGTTTTGTCACGATGACTGCATCGGGCCTCAACGTATTTGTGCTACCTGTCTTATACGTTAATCATTGTTTAACGATTGTTTCTGTATAAATTAAAAAGAAACCGCATTATTAGAGTGCTGAGTATCAAATTGCGAATAAATATATTATTTTGGCTGAAACCCTTATCGAAAATGATATATCGCATGAATTTGAAAGAAAGAAAACTTGAAGATTTTGTATGAACACGCAAATTTGTTGTTCAGCACTTTAATATGAGTGGTGGTTCACGTTGGAGAGGAAATTAATGAATACAGTTGCACACATTTACAAAATTTTTAATTTTGATTTTTCTATGGTTGCTTGTTCAGTATTAACTTGTGATTGCTTCTGTACAAAGTGTCTTTTTAGCTCTTGTATTTTACTGTTCTTATATTATTGGTTTTTTGACAATAGACAATTCTTGCAAAATTTTAATGTAGTAATTTTTTTATAAAATAATCTTTTAATTGGTTTTTATAATTTTTATTACACAATTGGTGAATTTAATTAGTGAAATATTACAACTGTACTCTTGTAATTTCCATCTAAGAGAATAAAAGAATAAATCTCTTACAGTCAGACTCTAATACCGTCTTCCAGTAAGCATCACATTCTTCAACATGCGTCTTTACTATTTATTTATTAACAGACATTTAATTTTATTCTTATTATGTAGAAAATATTCCTGTACATGCTGATCTCAAGTTTTACTAGAGAAAGTCAAAAACTTATTCTTACATGCTCTCTTGTAATCATTTCTTTTAATATAGTTTAAGTGCAAGGACGAAGTTTGCACTGATCATGGAACAATTACTATTACTACAATAGAACATCTTGTACAGGAATGTTGCTTAAGGGTAACTATTTTTGATTAATATTATTAATCTATTGCAATGATGAGATCTAATTAGATAAATGTAGAGTTTACATATTTTATCTTTATCTCTCACTTCGTTGTAAACAATTTTCTAGGGTAAATATTAAATATATTATTTGCTTCACGTTAACGTGAAATTAAACATCATAAAACGGAGTATGAAAAAACCGTATAAAATTAAAAATCATAGTTCCACGATCGACATTTTACATTGTGTACATAATTCGCATTTCTCAAGTTTTTACGTATGTTTTCGAATCTTTATGAGAAATATGATCATTATTTTACACGAAATAGATTTTCAAAAAATTGAAAACTCTCATATTATTTTCTTAAGCAATTGTAGCCAAATACTGGATTACGATTGTTGCGTCTGTGTATAAGTATGATAACATAACGCATGTTCCGCTATAAAAAATATCGGTCATCATTCTCGATGGGATATACAAGTTGTGTTTACTGTATATCGATAAATTTTCGTATTGATATGTTTTTTTGGCATCATCCATAAAAATATGTAGTATTATTGCGATTCGATAGAACAACCATTGTGTATTTGTCGCTCAAATGTAAATAAAATCATATTCGTTTAATGTGTAAATTCGTTTAATATGCGCAGTGTACGTGATAAAGTGCGGATTTGGCAATGGTCAGTATTGTGAGAAAACGACATCTAAACAGTATGATGAAGCGCAGCAATTTTAGTTTCTGATGCAATTTACAACCCCCAGAATCATCTTGTATTTGCAAAATATGCAATCGTCACAATACAACATACGTTGAATTCGTACTTTATAGAATAACGCATTACCTGTTGGAAACAGCAATAGCCACTTAACATATATGTACAAAGGTATTCTATATTTACGAATGCTGGAATTAAAAAAGTAGTATTAAGTCTCAGACAAGAGTATTTCTTTCGAACCATGAGATTATTTTTATCTTTTCTTTCTAAGTCCCTCACGGGAGTAACAAATAATACAATACTGCAAACAAATGATTTTGTTATTTCTATACATGCTTTAATATTTGAAATAATTTTGTGAATATCAAAATATATTTGTATTATTTTTTAGTACATTATTGTTGTAGATAGAATATTTTATTCGTATACTTACATAATTTTGCTCTTTAAACGAGTGTTTCAATATTTTGATTGCACGATTTTACATTATTAGCAACTAATAGAATTAACGGCTGTGATGATGTTTCTCTCTGAAATTTTCGCCATAAAATATTGTACTTCATTTTTAACGCGTATTTCATTCTTTTAAATAAATTTATTGTAAACTTTGTAACTGATCAGTATTACTTTACTAAGTATTACCTTTTTTCTGTATTATATATACAAGTTTTAATATATTGCATTAATTAATTTATAAATAGGTATTTCAAGATATATTAAATTTTATTAAATTTAGTTGTAAAGATAATATAAACTATGATAGATAATCATTAAATATGTTTAAATTTATTTTTGGTTTATTTACTTAAATCTAAATTTAAGATATCTATATTTTAGATTTTATTATTTTTTATTTGTTTATACACAGTTTGGATTTAGATTATTTATTTTTATTAAAAATTTGAAAAACATCCTATAAAAATTCTATGTATACCATAATAAATACACACAAGTTAATTAAAGAAAATACATAAAATTTCAAATAATTAATTTAAATATTTAGAAATTTCGATCATTTGAGAAATTAATGCCAAAATTAATTTAATTTCATACATTTAAATTTTCTTAACTTTTATAACGGCCACCATTATTTTT